TCCTTCCTTCCTTCCTTCCTTCCTTCCTTCCTTCCTTCCTTCCTTCCCTCCCCTTTAGAGTTGTCAAACAAGCTGGGTCTACCAATTGAGTAGGCTATGTCTATACAAGCAAAGGGTAATTTTCTGGTTAATTCAGTCTTTTGAGTTATTCTGATTCATTCAGTTTTTTGATCCATGCAGAAATCTCCAACTTGCAAACAGGTTGAATTTTTTAAAAAAAATTATGTCAGTGGTTTGGAACTCAGAACAAAATTTCTCAGATAAATAACACTGTAAATGCTGCTTAGATTCTCAGGCTAGCCCCTTAATGCCTAGTAAACCCATTACATATCTCATAAGTCATATATCTGCAATGAAAACTAGTGAAATTGTTGTTAATAACTCATATAATATAGTAGCACTTTAAGCTCTGTAAAATGTTTTCCTCACAACAACCCTGTGAGGGAGGAAATACAAGTAGTCTTATTCTCATTTTACACATGAGGAAACTGAGGCTCAGGAAGTTTAAGTGACTAGTACAAGGACATATAGCTAGCAAGCACTGGGGGCTAAGCTTTGAACCCAGGTTTCTTAAGTTTTACTTTTGGTTAACAGCAAGAACAACAAAAACCAACCTTGCTCAGAGAAATAATTAAAAAAAGATCCTCTCCATTAAGTTTACACATCTGGGTTGCAAGCTACTTTGCTCAGAAACTTTCGTATCTTATTAGAAAAGAGACGGAATTTTGTCATCAAGAAAAAACATGGATACAACCCTCCTCCCCACCCCTCTGTGTGGGTGTGTGTGTGTATGTGTCTACGTCTACATCTGTATCTATATTCTTTCCCATATAGCGTCCTATCAGGTAACACTGCTTTCTCCGAAATTGTTTCAAACATATGGTATATTAGGTGCATTATAGGTAAAATGGACTATCATGGGCTGGCCAAGGAATGCAGTCATCATTTACAATGCTATTTCTATTTATTCTAGAGAGGGCAGTGAGAAACATCAGGGTAATGTCTCAGTAATCCTTCTCTATTAAGCTCACATCTGCCCTCATCACTGAGGGGACTGGGAGGATTGCATGGGAGGGAAAGAAGTGGGAGGAGAGAGATGCAGGGGTGGAGATTGGGAACAGTAGAAAAGCTAGGTTATTGTCCATCACTCACCCTGCATGCTTGCATCTATGTATGTATCTAAGGACAAGACGGTGACACATGAGTACTTACCACTGTGCAGCAAAGAGGCCAGAACCACCACAGAAGGGCCAGGGCCAGTAACAGAAACAGAACTAACAGGGCAATGAAGAGAATTGTTCCACTGAGCTGCAAACAAAGGAAATATCCAGATCACTTCCTTGATTGTCAAAAGATCCAATGCACGAGATGTCACAGAATGAGACCAAAGATATAACAGACAGAATGACGGGTCCTCTCTGCTTCACTTAATATCACGGCTCATCAGTACGATGTCAGGGATTATCATAATGTCCCCCATCAGAGGGGATGTTAGGAATTTCTCATTTTTCTGAGCCTTTTCTGTAATAAGCAGCTCAACTATGCCTGATTGAACACTAAAATAAGTCTATTTTAATTGCAATATCCTCCCAGGAGCAACTAGACAGTCACTAAATCACAGTTCATTTAGGTCTAATAATCCTAACCCTGACTCCTACAACCCTATGGCATCCTAGAGTCAGCCAATTAAAAAATCTGGGAGACTCAGGCTCATTAGTAAGCCAAAAGTTAGTTAATGGAGATTTTTTTGAGGATTGATATAACATTAAGTAGGCTACTGACACAATAAGAGAAGTACATTATATAAATAATAAAAACAGTAACAATAACACTTCTATAGTGCTTTAAAGTTAATGAAGCAGGTTTGTCTCAACCACCCTTTAAGATATACATCCTCATTTTATAAACAAGGAAACAAAGATCCAGAGGAACAATGACTTGTCTAAGGTCACTCAACTATCAAGCATTGGCATAGAGATTTAAACCCAGGTCTCTTATTTCCACATTCACTACCTCTTCCACTGAGAAACTAAGTGACTGGCCCAGGGTCACATAGCTAGCATCTGAGGCAGGTTTTGAGCTGAAGCCTCCTTGACTCCCAGCCCAGTGCCCTATTCACTGAACTATGTTGCCTCATCAATTTTAGGGTTGCAATTGAGAGAGACCTTGGAAATCATTTTGTCTAATTTTCCACTTCGTGTAGGAATATTAGCCTCCTTTACTTATGGTAAACATCTACATTTTACAAGAACTGAAAAATAGAAAAATATAGAGAAAGCTGAGAAAAAGAGGGGGAAAAAACCCACACCTGACAGAGAAGCTAAGTGGATCCTGAATATGAAACCTAGCAGAGAATGTGGGAGAGGAATCACAAGGTTCACTTTGCTCCAAGTTACAACAAAAAGAGAGAAAGGTTTAGAAATCAGTTGGTTGGATTCACATTAAGAAAAGTGCACAGTAATTTGTAAAAAGCTATGGGAGGCTAATTTTGCTGATGGGCAGGGATGTGCAGGGACAAGTGATCATGGAGTCATACCCACATACTTTCCCTTAGATGGAGAAGATTAAGCAAATAGTGGTTAACACTGTGCAAGTTGGTGCCAGAATCAAGAAAAAAGCTAATTGAGCAGACACACTACTCCTTCCTCAGGCATGCCTCTTCTCCCTTTCCAAATTCCCCTCACACTGAAAGCGCATGTAATCCCAATTTAAAGTGTTTGCAGAAAGAGTTGAGTCTCTACCAGCTGGCACCCGAGCGATGCCCTTTTGGGTATCAGATTCACCTAAGAACCAATATGAAAAGGGACTTTCACCCCTATCTGTAGATTGTGGCTTTGATGGAGGAGGAAAATGAGTTTCAGAGAGGATAAAAAAAGAGAGAAAACTTACTGCAGTAGGCATGAGAGAGCCAGATGAGAGCTAGAGCTGAGGAGCCAAAGAGAAGAAAACAGGAGAAGAAAGGGAAACTGCAGAAATCTGCAAAAGAGGGAAAGTGCTTAATGCAACAAGACTGAACAGGCTTGGAACACACCTGGATTCACATGAGCCCTGGCGTGAGCCTCTTACTGAGTGAGTTGATTAAGTGCTGAACTGACAGCTAAAGGCCCAGGCATTAGGGATGTACAACCAACGTACCAAGTGGGTGGGGCCGGTGCTCTCAGTTTCACCCCACCCTGGGGCCATACTGTGCTCTACCTTTATCTGTCTAGGTGCCGCATCACTCATTCTCCAGGAAGAAGCCATATCAATGGTCCTTCCTGGCTGAGAGTAATTTGTAGAAGTTCTCTCATGGTCATGGCTCCAGATAGCGTTGGTTCTACCTTTCTCTCTCACAATCAATCGTCCCTACTAGAAACCTCACTGAAAATCATTGTCATATTTTATGCAAATGACCTGGAGTCCAGTCATTAATTTAAAAAAAAGGTCCCATATATCAATTGCTTTTTTTTTTAGAGGCAATTGGGGTTAAGTGACTTGCCCAGGGTCACATAGCTAGTAAGTGTCTTAGGTCAGATTTGAATTCAGTTCCTTTTGACTCCAGGCCTGACACTGTATTCATTGCACCATCTAGCTGTCCCATGTCAATCACTCGTGCAACTGAAAGCAACTTAGCCCAATGACAAAACATCTCCCCTTTGTCACCTACCCTCATGCCAGTCTTATTTCTTCTAGGATAGTACTTTTCAGGATGGAGAGGTGGAAGGCTGGGAAAGGAAAGAACTTGACCCTGTCCAGGTAAGCTAATTTTCATGCATTTATTCCATTAAAAGAGCTTTCATCAGATGTAGCAATATAATAGGAGGAAGCTTGTGACTTTAACTACAGGGCTCCCTCTAAAGATAATACCTTGTGATACTGTCCTAGCCTAAGAAGGAAGGTGAGCTATTCATGGGAAAGCACATTGGAAGAGTTTGTCGTACTGTTGCTGGCTCTGGTATAGCCTCCCCACTGACTGGTATGGGGTTATAGATTATCAATTTTGATACGGAAAAGGGATTAGACTTGGGGACATAGATGTTAGAGCTATAAAGGACCTCAGAAGCCACTGATTACACCCTTCATTTTCTGATTGAGGAAATGGATGAGTTAAGTGACTTACCAAAGTCACAAAGATAATAAGCAACAGAATTGGGATTTGAATACAGGTCTCAAGACTGTAAATCTTATGTTGCTTCCAGTTTTGTTTTGGGTTTTTTTTTTTGCTATATCTTAGTTTTTACAGTGTGGATAACACTTTATTTCCTTCTTCTAGTTGGGGGGTAATATCTAGTACTCTTTACAACTAAGAAACACTCTAAAAAGAAAAATGAAGCTACCTCAATGACGTTTCTGGATTGATTTACTCCGGCCCACAAGGTCATGTCCTTAATACTTACACATTTGGTGCTGGTGATACTGACTGAGCTGGAGATGAAGGTGAGTCCCTTGTTCATGCTGACTTGGAGAAAAACCACCCTAGAACATAAGGAGAGGACAGTCAACATAAATGGCGGCATTTGCACATTCCTATGGTTCCCATGAGACTGCTCTTTTGCCAAGATATCATATCCAGCCTTGTTAAAGGCCGGGCTGTGGGTGCAGGTGTTCTCCTGGGAGCTGGGTTCACCACAAGTCAGCTGACTGTACAGAAATGAAGGACATCTTTATTATTATTGTTAATTTATAAAACATTTTTGGCTACCTGTGGGGAGACCACACCTAAACACTGGGAAAGTAGACCTCTGGCATCCCAGGAAGGGCATTCAGGAAAGGCTCATAGACAACCCTACTCCTGCCTTTTCTATTGTTTTGTACCTGCTTCCTGCTCTAGAGCATTGACCAGGAGTATTCCATATTTCAAAAGGTATTACTGATGTTCAGTTGAGATAGCACAGTATAGTGGAGATATGCTGACCTGAGTCAGGAAGAGTCGAGTTTGAGTTTGAGGCCTGACTCACACACACAGGCCATACGACCATGGGCAAGTTACTTAGCCTCCCAGTGACTCCAAGACTACAGGAGACAGAGGAGCTGTTGACCTGCATTAGTGGAGAACATTTCCACAGTGGGAGTAGATCAAAGTCTGGATTTAAAAAATAAACAAACAAAAAATCTCATCTGCTTCCACAGGATCATACCAAACCAATGGCGGTATAAACTCACACAAGTGTTTACCTCTGTGAAATAGCAGAAAATGGAGGGAGAATAAAAACAGAGTTCAATGTTTTTTCTAGACTCATCTTCTAGAGATATTTTAAGGACTAATAAATTAATCTTTCTGATTTAGGCTTCTCAGGAGAAAGACTTATATAAATTTAGAATATTATTCTTAGTGGGGTAATTATTAGTTAGTTCTGTATCCTAAATTCTATGTACCTAAGTATAGCAAAGATTAACCTTGCTGTTTGTATACGTTCAACAAATTAAAACTTGACCAAGGTTTCTCAAGCATCTATTATGTTCGGGTCGCTGAGGATCAGATGGAATCTCTACCTTCAAGGAGCAAATAATCTGGTAGGGAAGATAAGACAGTCACATGAAGAACTATCCTACAAGCAGACATGGATAAAGGAAATGTCCACCCAAAATACTAGGAGAAATCCGAGGAGGGAGCAATCACTTCTGGCAGGGGGAATCAGGGAAAGCTTCAGGAAGGAAGTGGTATCCGAATTGTTAAGCTGAGTCAGTAGATAACTTTTTTTTTCATTTTCAATATAGATTTTTCACAAAAAAGAGGTCAGGGCTGAGTGTGTGGGAGGGAGATTCCCCAAAGATGACCCTATCACAGGTAGGAAGGGCAGAAAAGGATGGGACAGTAAGTAGAGCAGTTGGGACTTAGAATGGGCAAAGGAGAATCATGCAAAATAAGGTTGAGAAGGTTCCATCATTACTTACTGTCCAACCTCATCTAGCTTTGGTGCAGGACAGAATAAGTATGTATCTTGCACAACCGTTGGTTTCTCATCTAAAAAAAATGACAGAGGATAAAAAAAAATATGAGAAGCCTGCCTAGGACAATATTAGGGAGGGCAGCGCGGTTGAAAGGTCAGATGGGAGGGGCAGGTGTCCTATTCCATTCTCAGTTTCCTAATGGGCTCACTGGATAACTTTAAATAAATCTTGGCCACCTGCAGCTTCAATTCAGTGTTTACATGTGAATAATTGTGATTCTTGTAAGGTTCGCACATAAGGTAGAGAAAGTGAGTTAGAGGAGGCAATAACAAAGCATTGAAACAAGTCAGGAGATCTGGATTCTAATCCATTTCTGCTACGAATTAGTTGTGTAGCCTTGGTCAGGTTACTCGGCCTCCCTGCACCTCAGTTTCTTCATCTTTAAAATGAGCAGCTGGGATATAGTAAAGTCCCTTCTAGTTTTAAAAGTTTACTGGTCTATGGCCGCTACTGCCTGTCTGCTCTCTGCCTACTGCTGACCTGAGAGAAGAGCTCCTCGGGCTCAGTGCCATGGCTCAAGCACCCCTTGGTCTGGCCCCATGCCCATGCACCCAGGGGCCTTTAGATCTAGCTCAGATTGAGCAGCTCATTTGCAAGGGCCAAGAAGCCGAGGAGTTGGCCTACCAGCCCTACAGTAACTTCCTAATGGGGACAGCTCTCCTGCCTCTAGACGGGAAGATTTTTCCAGGATGCAACAAAGAAAATGCTTCCTATTCAGTAGGCACCTGTGCAGAATGCCCTGCCATTCAGAACACCATCTCAGAAGGACACAAAGAGCTCCAGGCCTTTGCTATTACCAGTCTAGGGACCTCTTTGGCATTTATATTTGAAGGGCCTTGAATATACTATATGGTGATAGTGAAAAAAACACCTGGGAATCAAGAGACCTGTGTTGTATTCCCAGCTTTGGCTCCAACTTCCTATGTGACCTTACAGTAGTCATTTAGCCTCTCTGGGCCTCAGTTTCCTTTTCTGTCATATCAGAATATTGGCCTAAATCAGGGGTTTTTAATTTTGTTTATGTCCTGGACCTCTTGGGTAGTCTGGTGAAGCCCATGGACCCAAAAGTATACAAAATAAAATATATAAGATTACAAAGGAAAAAAAAAAGTTTACTGGTCTATGAAAAATTCACCAAGTGACTCAGATTTTGTCCCTTAACTATTGTGAAAATATTACAGAATTTTTGAGTTGGGAAGGACATTGGAAACCATAATCCAACTCATATCCAAACAATTATCCCATCTTCAACATCTCTGACAAATGGGTATTGTAGCCTATGCTGAAGATTTTCACTGAGAGGAAAACAATTGTCTCCTAAAGCAGTGCATTTCACTTTTAGGTATATCTGAGTGTTAGGAAGTTCCTCTTTTTCATTTATTAAAAATATTTTTCATTTTATTTTTATTTTCAGTTCCAAAATCTCTCCCTCCTTTTACCCTTCCCCCACCCAGTGAGAAGGCAAGAAATGTGATTTCCATTATATATATGTGAAGATAAGCAAAAATTATTTCTGCTTTAGCCATTGTACAAAAATAAAGGAGAAAAAAAGCAAAAATAAAATAAAGAGAAAAAATGTTTTAATCTGTATTCTAAGTCCATCAGTTCTCTATCTAGAGGTGGATTGCATTTTATATCATGAGTCCTTTGGAGATGTGGTAGATCACTGTATTGATCCCCAGCTAAGCCATTCACAGTTGATCATTGTACAATATTGCTATTACTGTGTACATTGTTCTCTTGGTTCTGCTCACTCCACTTTGCATCAGCTCATTTAAGTCTTCCCAGGATTTTCTGAAACCATCCCCTTCATCATTTCTTACATTACAATAGTAGTCTATCACATTCATATACTGCTTGTTCAATCATTTTCCAATTGATGGGCATCCCCTAAGTTTCCAATACTTTCCAATACCACCACAAAAAGAGCTGCTATAAATATTTTCATACATATGGGTTATTTCCCTTTTCTTTAATCTCCTTGGGATACAGACTTCCCTGTAGTATTGCCAGGTCAAAGGGTGTACACAGTTTTATAGCCCTTTGGGAATAGTTCCAAATCATTCTCCAGAATGCTTGGACCAGTTCACAACTTTACCAACAGTGCATTAGTGTCCCTATTTTCCCACATTCCTTCTAGCATGTGTTATTTTTCTTTTTTTTTGCCACCTTTGCCAATCTGATGGGTGGGAGGTGTTTTTATTTGTATTTATCTAATTGCCTAACTAAAGAGTTGTTTTATTTGCATTTATCTAATTATTAGTGATGTAGAGCATTTTTCCATAAGACTATTGATAGTTTTGATTTCTTCTTTTGAAAACTGTCTGTTCATATCTTTTGACCATTTATCAATTGCCTTTTTTCATTAAACAAAGTTTTATTGATACGCTTCATTTGTATATTACCAACACTTACCTTCACCCTAGGAGAGCTCTCTTGTAATATATGAAAACAATTTAAAAAAAAACTAACAATGCAGGGACTTCATCTGAAAGCACATGCAACATTCCACACCTATAGCACTTGCCTTTCTATTTTAAAGTATTTTTTAACTGAACAGGAATCTATCTTCTCTTTTACCCACATCCCATTGAAAAAAAATAAAAGAAAAACAATTTCCTTGTCACAAATATGGGCAGTCCAGCAAAACAAATCCTCTCATTGTCTAGGTTCAAACTGCACCCTAAATCCATCACCTTTCTGTCAGAAGATGTTTCATCATCAGTCTTCTGAAATCACGGTTGATCAGAGTTTTTACAGCCTTCAAAGTGGTTTGTTTTTACAGTGTTGTTAATGTATAAGTGGTTCTCCTGGTTCAGCCAGTTTTATTCTTCATGGATTTATAAAAGTTCAGAATTCTTCATTTTTGCATTTTATAAAAGTTCCTCCTTCTAACAAGTATACAGAGTTAGAGTGCTATATTGGCAAGAATGCTGGTTTAGAGTCTGAGGCTCTGGGTTTGAATCCTGACTCTACTAGGAGACTGCCTAAATGGGGTTGTTTGACTAGAAGGTTTCTGGACTTATGACACCTTGATAAGCATTACTCCTAGTTTACCTTTGGGGGCCAAGAGGAACAAAAGCATCTGTCTGTATGTAGCCCTTCAAATACGTGAATGCAGCCCTCATATCTTCCCTCAGTCTTTTCTTCCCAGAGCAAACAATCCCATTTCCTTAAAACAATCCACATATGGCATAATCTTGAGGTCCTTTGCCATCCTGGACACTTTGCTTTGGGCATTATCCAGCTTATCAGTGTCTTTGCTATTTTTATTAACTGCAATATTCTAAGAATTGGTACTAAATTCTTTCGTTTAGGACCAGAAAAGAGGTATAATGTTCTTGGAAAAGGATACATTTGACTCCTTCTAAAATACAAGGGAAAATAATAAGAATAATAGCTAGCATTAATATAACATTTTTGAGGGTTGCAACGTGCTTTTAAAATATTATCTCTGGGGGCAGCTAGGTGGCACAGTGGATAGAGCACTGGCCCTGGAGTCAGGAGGACCTGAGATCAAATCCGGCCTCAGACACATAACACTTACTAGCTGTGTGACCGTGGGCAAGTCACTTAACCCCATTGCCTAGCCAAAAAAAAAAAATTATCTCATTTGATCCTCATAAGCACTCTGGGAATTAAGTGCTATTATTATCTCCATTTTGCAGGTGAGGAAATTGAGGACAAGTGACTTGTCTAGGATTACACAGATTTGAATTCAGGTTTTTCTGACTCTCGGCCTAGTGTTCTATCCACTGTGCAACCTGGCTGCCTCAGCAGCTGAATACTTCAAAGAAAATAAACACAAAATACTCTGAACCATTAGCTAACAGTGGACAGAATCAGGAAACCTAGAATCATGGTCCACCTTATCTGTTGTAACTACCCTGTGCCACCATTTCCGTTTCTGTAAAAGAGAGATGATGACTCCCCTTACCCACATCATGGAGATATTTCAAGAAGAAAACAATCAAAATTAAACTTATAAAAAAATGAAAAAGAAGCCTCTCTCTGCAAAGTATGTTAGTTCTTTAGAAGAAGGTACTACGTATATAGGTATGACACTGCCCCAGTTAATAATCCAGGTGTGCTCCCTCTAACACCTGATCTTATCAATGAACATGGGTCCTCAGAAATGTCAGTCCTTTAACAGCAAAAGGTGTTGATGATTGAGCCAGTTTGAGTTTATGGAGTTTACTTTCCTAAAGCTAAATGTCAAGACTCTTCTAGTTTCCAAGTCTAGGGTTCTATTCAATATGCCACCTTGTCTTAAAGCTTGCTCTGTGGTCCATATGGGGAACAGACCCCTAACCTTAGCATTGTTAACAGCATATGCTGACCAACTGAGCTAACCCACGAATCTGCCATAGACAATCCTTGGAGGCTGAGTGAAGAGGATTGCTCTAGGAGATCCCTGTACTGAGGAAGAGGCTGGACTAGATGATCCTGGAGGCTTCTTTCAACTCTAACAGTCTCTGATTCCATGGCTGGACAAGAAAGCAGGTGAAAGATGTCACCAGAAGTGACCAATGTAGATGACCAAAATATACTCTGGTTATACTGACTACATAACTTCCAAATACCTTCTTTTGATGGTGATGTTCAGACCCAGATAGGGGCACTTGGGAACATACTGTTCCCCTCTCCTGATTTCCATTTCTTCTTCTGGAAGCAATACTTGAAGTGCAAACTCCTGCCTTATAGCATGACAAACACTGGGTAAAACAGCAAGTCTGACACCCGGGTGGTTTAATGGATAAAGTCCTGGACGTGGAGTCAGAGAAACCTGGGTTTAAATCCTGCCTCAGACATTAGGAATGTCAGCTTGGACAAGTCACTTCATCTCCTCATCTGTAAAATGAAGAGGTCAGGTCTGATGGCTTCTAAGGTCCCTTCCAGCTCAAAATGAAAGCATATACCCATTTTCAGAGAAACAAGAAACAATTTTTAAACTAAGAGCCCAGGATCTTAGGGAAGAGATAAAACAAGGGAGCAACTCTAGATAATTGAGAGCAATTCTAAAAAAAAAATGATCTGGACACTATTCTGGACCAAGCTGGCCTCAGTAAATAGGAAGTTTGGGCAAGCATTCAAGGAAAGCAGTATTGTCCATGCTGTGCACACGAGGGGATGCTTTCCCCCAAAGACACCCTGGTATGGAGGAAATGCACTTGGACAGGGGAATAGTGACATGGAAATAGAGTCCAGGCCTGGCAGCCTGTGCCATTCCCTCCTCCAGAACAAATACACATTTCTGGGAAATGTACAAATGAAATTGGAATAGATTCAGGCCCCCAATGGTGACTAATGATTTATAGATATTTAAACCAGTCAGACTTGGGAGAGAAGTAATGACTAAGATGCAGTCTTATTTTCTCTCTTTGGTGAAGTCTGTGATAGAGAAAGGGGTCAGAGTGACCGTTCTGAAAATGGACACCTCTTGTTCAGTACTAGATCAGAAATGAACTCAAAAGCAGAAATCCATCATTCCCTTGCCAAGTGAGTAAAACTTGTTTTGGAGCAGGCCCTGAATGGGGACAGAAAAAAACTCGGTCTCTATGATTGATGCCACCCTTGGCTTCTCTGCTTGGATTCCAGAGGGGCCAATTCATGCTTTCTGCTGTAGTGCCTCCTTTGATGAATTCCTGGGAACTGACTGGGAGCCAGACCCTTGTTTCACAGTCCATCAATTGGGCAGCCAGCTTAGAACAGAGCTTTGGGATTGCTCCTGTCCTGAGTTGAACCCAGATAGTCAAGACAACGGTTGTGACCTCTGCTCTGTGGAATCATTAGGCCCTAAAGTCCAAAGTGGTGAGTAAGCAGCAGGCTTGGAGAAAGGATAAAGAAGCGGCTTTGTGGACTTAAAAATCCCAGTGGGGAATCTTCTAGAGTGGGTACTATATCAATTCAATGTAATGAGTACTTCTGTGTGCTGGGCACTCTACTAGGTGCTGCCCTCTGGAAGCTTATAGTTGAGTGGAACAGTTGAGGACATGGAAGAAAAGAAAAGGGTATGTTCTAGACCAGAGGTTCCCAGCCTGGGGTATTCGTGTCCCCAGGGGCTTACAAGAAACTCATCAAGGGGTACTGGGAATATCTGGTATTGTCCTATCAAAATTAATTTCTTTATTTTATTTCTTAATGCATATGCATATTAGCTACAGAAGTTATTGGCTTTCATAACGAACAGAGGGTACAGTGAGTTTTTCTGAGAGTCAGGGGATACAGGTTGAAAACCCTTATTCTACACTTATTGTTCTTCAGTTCATCAAGTATTATGACTGCACCAGTCTCTAAAGTTCAGAAAGAAACAACTAGGCACCAGTAAGTCCTAGGAGATGATTTATTTTAGTGATCCAAACCCATCAACAAAATTCATAGTCAGGACGGTTGGGCCAGGGCCGGACAGAGGGTACCGGGAATTAGCTAAGTAATATATTCTCTAATTAGAGGTCGTGTGGCATAGCTGAGAGAGAGAGAGCTGGCTTTGGAGTCACAAAGACCCGGCTCAAACCTAGCCTCTGACATGTACTAGCTGTGTGAGCAGGGGCGATATCACTTAACCCTCTCAGTTCAGTAGCTCTGTAACACTGAAAGTTACTGGAAAGTATTCTGCGTTGGTGGAGGGAGGGTTTCACACAGGGATGAAAATTCCATACAGGATGGAAGGAGAACTGAAAGTCTCATACAAGGATGAAATCATAGACCTGTCCCATGATTAGAGAGTAACAGCTTGAGGACGTCCAGAGCTGTGCATCTTTTTATAATACTTACAACTCTCTCCAATATAGTGCCATTTTTCCATCTGAAAATGGGGCCAGACAATCTCATTCTCCTACTTACCTCTTCGGGATGTGGTAAGAATGAACGAGCTCATATTTCCTAAACTGTTAGACTCAGACTCTTAGACAGGAAAAGAAATTCAAGACATCCTCTAACCTAGGGCTGAGAGTCCATCTCTGCCTGTTTTTATATTTTTATATGACCCTCGAGCTAAGAACGATTAGTTTGCTGGCGGTACAAGAACAGGCAGCAAGACGCGATACAAGAACAGGCAGCAAGACGTGATACAAGAACCCCAGGTATCCTGACTCACATTCAATGCACTTTCTATGGCATTTATGGAGACATGACTCAGAGGCAGCCGAATGCCTACTTACTCATGGTAACGGTGTCATTGATCTTAAAGCTGCACAGAACTTGGTCGATATTCCGCGCGTGATAGAAGCCATTGCCTCGCACCACCACTTGGAAGGACTCTGCAAAGACAAAAATTCAAAGGGACACATGAGAAATGGTTCGGCTCGGTTTTCCACCTGACCTTGCCTTTCAAGTGGCTCCTCTCCTCAAACTAGCCCCCAGGACTTCTACTTAGCAGCTGCTGTTCTTGAGTCAGTATCTTTACCCTGGGCCAAATCCTCATCCGGTGTAACTCTGTGGGAATCTTGGACTGAAATCTGGCCTTAGTGCCATTATCAAAAGGCATTTTTTTTTTAAAGTGTCCGTTTCTGCAAGGGTCCAGGATAGGCAGCATATACTGTTTGGATCCAGTATTGTGAACAGTGAACCCTCTTGTTCTGCTGCTGATGGTGGTTTTATCAGTAATGATCTCTGGTTTCTGTGGGGCTCATGGGAACTGTATCTTATCTCGTTGCCTAACTTTATTTCCCTTATTTTTGTTGGGAAGTATAGGCAAGGGTAATGAATCCCACATAAATTCTTAAGAACAAAGGGGTGAATGAAACAGGAAGTGGTTTTTTCAATTGAGAGTTTCTTGGCTTGAGAAATTTGAACTCTGAATCCTGAAATTCAGCTTAGGGTAGATTATTTTCTTCTTTTTGGTGAGTTAAACAACAATAAAAATGCTCTCCCCGACCAGTTATATCAGTCACTTGATCAGAGGATAGAGGTCTTTCCTAACATATTCATTTATGACTAAGGTGATAGACCCAAGATTCTTGACAGTACCATTAAATCAATTGCCCTGAATGGCTGAACAATTTGTGACATATCAGAGTAATGGATGACTACTGCACTATAAGAAACAACGAATGAGGAATTCAGAGAAATGTAGGAAGACTTGTATGAACTGATGTAGAGTGAAGCAAACAAGCGGGAAACCACTATACACATTGACTACAATACTGTAAGCAAAGAGAACGCTAAACCAAAACTGAACATTATATAAATCTTGAAGCCTGAAAAGAGCTAACAAAATGCGCCTCCCTCCTTTTCCTGGGGAAGAAGGGATCTATTGTTACAGAATGTGCATGTACTATCTGATTGGGTCTCTGCTTTGGTTGACTTTATTTGATTGCTTTATTTGTTACAAAGGAAGGCTCAAAGATGGGGTAGGGATATATAAGAATGACTCACAAAAATAAAAGGTATCAGTAAAACTTAAGTGAACGTCATTAGAGAAATATTCCATAGTTACAGTACACTGCTTCATTAAATGAGCAGCTAGGTGGCTCAGTGGATAGAATGCTGTGCCTGAGTTCAATGTCTTGCTGATTATCTCATGTCTGTGTCTTTGTATGAACAGTTCCCGTGGATGGAATGTTCTCCCTCTTCACTGCCACTCCTTTGAACCCAAGCTGCCTCCAAGGCTGAGCTCAAATGTCACCTTCCCAAAAATCTTTTTCTAATTCTTACAAGTTTTATTGCTTCAATCCCAGCAAATCCCACTCCCTGTGATTAACTTGTGTTTGTTTTGTCTTTATCTATTTGAAAACAGGGGCAGCTATGTGGCACAGTGAATAGAGCACTGGGCTTATAATCAGGAAGACTCATCTTCAGGAGTTCAAATCTGGTCTCAGCCACTCACTAGCTGTGTGACCCTGGGCAAGTCACTTAACCCTGTTTGCCTCAGTTTCCTCATCAGTAAAATGAGCTGGAGAAGGAAATGGCAAACCACTTTAGTATCTTTGTCAAGAAAATCCCAAATAGGGTCACTAGGAATTGGGCACAACTGAAAAGACTGAACAACAACTTCATTAAATACCTTTGCTTTGAACATATGTCCATATATATAATATATATATATATATACACACACACACATATATACACACATATTCATACTGAGAAGAATGTTATGTAGTCACAACATGGACTTTGGCCAGCCAATTTTAGGCCCAAGTTATCTGGGGATTTGTGAGGAATTGTTTTCTTCTCTAGTAAGGGGTCCTGAATATAGGATAAGTGGAGGCACATTATTAGACTGGTTTACTTACCCCAATTTGGGGTGGGGCTGGGGGAGTGTGATATGATAAGCATTAAGAACTAAAATGCAGGGGCAGCTAGGTAGCGCAGTGGACAGAGCACTGGCCTTGGAGTCAGAAGGACTTGAGTTCAAATCTGGCCTTAGACACATAATACTTCCTAGCTGTGTGACTCTGGGCAAGTCACTTAACCCCAATTGCCTCACTAAAAAAAAAAAACAACAAACCCAAAACAAAAGACCAAACAAATGAAAAAAAGAACTAAAATGCGTTTCTGACTTCAAGTCAGATGAGAGTTGAACTTTAGGAGTCAGAGGAAGTAGTATCAAAGAGCATGTGTGATCTGAACCTAGCTGCCCATTACCTTTTTTGTCACAACTGGCAGAGGGGAAATAGTTTGCAGCTGCTGGCAGAAAGAACTGTAGTCCTGCCTTGCAGGGTAGAGACTTAATAACCACAGCGTCTTGAACAGATGGTGAATGCTAGGATGCTAGGAGGTGCTAACGACAGTAAGGTAGCTGAAGACCAGTTAGAATGAAGATGTGATACCCTTTGGGGGCCAGCCAAGAGACACCCAACAGGAAGCATGCTCAGTAGAGAGCTGTCGTGATAACATCACCAGAAAACATGGGCACAAGTTGCACCTTTATGTGCAAACCCTGGCTATGTGTGATTATCAAATGTGCTACGTATGTTCCCAATATGCCCATGCCTCATGAGCGATCCCTATGAGCATTCATTCATTCAACTGAGGGTGTGTATATTTATGGGAAAAGTTTATGGGAGGTAAGAGGAGAAGTGTCTTGTTACGTTATACTATTTCATTCAATGCCTTTGCTTTGAACTGAGTGTGTCCTCTGGCTGACTAGTGAACACAAACATACTGTGCGTTTACATGAGCTATGGTTTGGAGAGGATTCTTAACTACAGTGGTGCCTAGAATCTGGGGTAGCTACTGTGGGGGGCTCGTGTGTGAGGAAGCTGCTTTACATTCACAAGCTTGTGGCCTGTTTCATTTTAGGGTCTTCCTCCACCTGAGAGTACCATGGAGAGTTCAAGATGGTCTGTGGCAGTTTGTGGGCATTTTGCCCATAGCCCAAACTGAGAAATGGACCCTGGATAGAAAGAAAACACATTTACACCGGGCAATCTGCTGAGGTCAAGACTAGCTACATGTGCAGACTTCCACAGCAACCCAAGACATTCGCCAAGAACTGTCTCCAAGATATGCCCATATCCCATTTTCTCTTGACAGAAGAGTTCATCTAATTTACAAAAATGATTAATGTCACCCATTGTGATGACTTTTTCCTTCTCTTCCAACCTTAAAACCTCTCTGTGCATTCCCCTATCTTTTCATTCCTTCTCTAGTCTTTCAGAAGACAAAGAAGTCTTGCTAAGGCTTTGTTTCCATTTCCTCTCCTAGATTTTGCTCTGTTTTCTTTTGCATTCTCAGTCTCTCCTTTAATGAGTTCAGTTTTAGACATATTGTATTTAAGATATCTATGGGACACATAATTCAAGATATCCAATAGGCAGTTGGAGATATGAGCCTGGAGGGCAGGAGATAGGTTAGGGTTGGATGAGTAGATCTGACTTGTCAATTCATGCAATGCATGCCTACAATATATGGAGAAAGATCATTTGGAATGTAGGCATGTGGACAATTTTAAAGACATTTTCTTAAAGAGATATAGTTGCACCTATTCCAATACTTTTGTCCCTTAAGACCACTTTTAGGCGTATAGGATTATATTCGGTGTAGAAAGGACCCTTAGGGGCCATCCAGTATAGCCCACACCCAATTTTATAGATGAGGAAACTGAGGTCCACAGAAGTTAAGAGACATAGATAGTAAGTTACAGAGCTGGGAATCAACCCCAAGCCCTGTGATTCCAAATACAGCTTGCTTTCTCCTTTATCATCCTGACTCACACAAGTACTCTCTTCCTAACACTGACCTACATATATAGAATACACATGCTGCTTCTGACCAATTCAATTCCTCTTCTGTAGATATTATCTATATACAGTAATATAACTAACTCAGGGATCTACCTTGTGTAAATAATAGGTTTTTAAATAATAATAATAATATTATGATGTTAAAAAAAAGATTGAAAACTTATGTGAGTCAGTGAAAATCATAGCTTGGGAGTGGTCAAGTTAAGTTGCTGGTGAAGGAGCATCTATAAAGTGACAGATCCCAAATTGTTCTCTTATTTTTACAAATAGAGAACTCAGTATCATGCTGATTAATTCCATTGTTAAGACTGGACAATCAGGACATTGTGTGTCCTGTGCAAGGCCAGATTGTGGAACACTCCACATCATTGGCAGGAACATAGTCTTTCCAGACATTTTGCTGTGGAAATGGTGCTGGGCTAATGAGATTGTATTATTGACCATTTTTTCTTTCACTTCAAGTGTATCCCTGCGCCAAAAAAGTCCATCTGTCACTGCAGTTCTGCTGGCTTTGTAACTGACTTCTGTCCCATGTTCAAAGCTTTTCTTATAGGGAGGGTGTGGCTGCTATGAGGTTAAAAGGGACTAGGCAAATAATTTACCGCCAAAATCTGTTAGTAGGTCAACCTCTGCACATTAAAAAAAAAAAACAAAAAACGCCAGATAACTGAGGATGACGTCAGTGTTTTGGAAATAATCTACAGACCAGCCTCAGCTTGCCATTCCACTTCTTGAGAAGAGACCTGGCTTCCATCTTAGGATTCCAAATTGGAAGCTATTGTGGATTACTGGCATGAGAAATTACCTCCTACCCAGGATGAGTTTATGTGAGTTTCAAATGTATTTCTTTGGTAATAGTGAAAATATCTACCTTAATCCCTATGCTATAATAAGACACTCTTATTAAGACCTATTTTGAACTTGTCAGGGAAGATACAGGGTGACAGTATAAAACCCCACAGAGACTCCTGGAAGGGGAATGGAGGGGCTTAGCAGAGACCAGGCGAAGGACAGATTCCCTTGAGCACAAAGGAAAGGGTATGAGAACCATAGGAAGTATGAAGGTCTTA